GTGACCCTCTCCCACCCCTGACTCCGCTGGGGTGACCCTCTCCCACCCCTGACTCTGTTGGGGTGACCCTCTCCCACCCCTGACTCCGCTGGGGTGACCCTCTCCCACACCTGACTGCTGGGGTGACCCTGTCCCACACCTGACTCCACTGGGGTGACCCTCTCCCACCCCTGACTGTGCTGGGGTGACCCTCTCCCACCCCTGACTCCACTGGGGTGACCCTCTCCCACTCCACTGGGGTGACCCTCTCCCACCCCTGACTCTGCTGGGGTGACCCTCTCCCACCCCTGACTCCGCTGGGGTGACCCTCTCCCACCCCTGACTGCTGGGGTGACCCTCTCCCACCCCTGACTGCTGGGGTGACCCTCTCCCACACCTAGCTCCTGGAGGTTGGGGTCCCTTTGTTTAGGTGTGTGGGTGTGCATATGTGCATGTAGAGCCAGAGGACAGCCTTGCGTGGTAATCTTAGGCACTGTCCATCTGATTTTTGTTTTATTTTGTTTGCTCGTTTTTTAGGCAGGGTCTCTCACTCCCCAGCGAGCTCCAGGTAGCTCTTGGCTGCCTGTTTTGGTCATCCCAGCACTGGGATTATGAACATGCACTACCACACCCACTTTGTTTTCATGTGGGTTCTGGGATCTAGCGCAGATCTGCTTTTAAGGCAAACACTCCACTGAAGCTGCCTTATCCTAGCCCTGACTTGGTTTGTTTCTTTGCAGGGAGGCTCTGGTCTTGAACTCAGATCTGCCTGCCTCTTCCTCGATGCTGGGTCTAAAGGCATCGCCATACCCGCTTCCTTTTTGTTTTTGTTGTTGTATGATTTAGGGTGTGTGTGTGTGTGTGTGTGTGTGTAGAGAAGGTCTTGGACTCCTGATCCCCTGCCTTCACCTCTCGCATGCTGGAATTACAAGCACATGCCACCACACCCATCTTGGTTTTTTGTTTTTTAATGATCCCGTAGGTCTGTTTAGCCCTACTATTCCATAATGGTGTTTTGAAGTACTTGTTGATAGAACAAATTCAATTTGTTTTTATAGGACTTAAAAAGAAATCCACACAAATAAACTTAGTATTGCTGTTGAGGAAAAAGCTGCAGGCCTTTGAAATCTGATCGGAGTGTGTTTGGACTCGGTCTCTGCAGTTCAGTTGCCTCGTGACGTTGGCTTAGCTGAGTTTCAAGTGTCCCGTGGACTAATAGAGAGTTGTAAGGATACGGGAGTCGTGTGTGCGTCGCGGGTGTCACCGGGGACCAGCAGAGTACGGCCCCCTTGTGCTCAGTGCTGTGAAGCATGTGAGTGTTTCTCTGTCTGAGCCTGCTCTGAGCTGCTCGCTCCCTGGGCCTCTAACAGCCATGCTGTGCGTTTCACGTGTGGAATTCACCTCTTGAAAGTGTGTGCTTCAGCGCCTGTCCTTTGTGTGTCCCCGGCACTGTGTGCCATCTAGATTCTAGAACATTCCAACAACTGGAAAGGGGCCTAAAACCCACTCGCAGCCTCCCCTCTTTCTCACACGCCCAGGTTTTGATCACGCTGCCCTAAATTTGTTTTTCACTTACATCCGTAATCCCTAGTGTTTCTTTTTCGTAGGATGTGTTGGTTATGCTGGTTAGTGTTTTACCAGCCTCATCCAAGCTGAGCTTGGGTGGGAAGAGGGAGCCTCCATCACAGTAGGCAAGTCTGTGTGGCGTTTTCTTGATTAAGGATTGATGTGGGCAGCGCCAGCCCGGGGCAGGTTCTGCTTCCGTCCCTGCCTTCCCTCGGCGATGGACTGTAGACTAAGATGAGATAAACCCTCTTCTCCGGCAGTAGAGAACCAGCTAGGACGGAAAGAGAGGCTTGTGTCAGCAAAGCACTTCGGAGCCGCTGTCCCCCTCCTGTGGACTCCCCGCCTTGCCAGCCTTCAGACTGATGCTCTTTGGTCCTTGTGTCTTGCAAGATTGTGTCCCTGGATTGGAACTAGGACCTCAGCCATGCCAGACAAAAGCTCTGCTCTGGGCCGCACCCAGGCCGCAGGGTCTTATCGTGTGTCCTGTCGTAGCCCTTGGCTCTGGCCGACTACTTTGTGGGCCCTCTGTTCTGCCTTGATGGCTTGGCTGTCTTCCACTCTGCCTCCTGCATGGTGGCTCTGTCGTGGTCTCCTGAGCCGTGGCCCATCCTGTTTAAGCATGGGTGTTCCCAAAGGTTCTATCTATAGACTTCCTCCCCGATGCTGGCGGAACGAAGTCATTTTCCCGTTTTTATGTGAGGATACGTTTTAGGCTTTTCCTGTTCTGTGGGTGGCTTCCTGTTGTTAAGGGTTTGCTGTCCCGTCGGGAATGTGAGCATGCTTACTTCTTCCTCTAGCAAGCTTAGCTTTTCCATTTTACAGTTCATTTCTACTGTATTTAATAGCTGTAAGATAGGTGCTGTGTACCCTAGGGCTCTTAGGTCAGCTAACTCTGTTCATGCAGACCAATGACCTCTTGAGTACTGGGATTAAAGGCATGCACTGCCATTGAATGCTGGCTGTTAACCATGTGGATGCTTGTGTGTGACATATATTTTGAAAATTAAAGCTGGCCTTGAATTCAGAGATCTTCCTGCCTCTGTCTCCTATGCACGGGGATTAAAGGCGTGTACCATCATAATACCTGGCTTTAAAAAAATGTTTTAAGTGATCATACAGAGTAAGGTTTTCTCATGGCATTTTCATACATGTGTAGACCCAATAGGACAAAATACAATGGTCTGTTATGTTTTGTTCCTGTTCCTGTTCCTCCAGGACTGTCCTACCTGGTCCCTACCTGGCTCTTGTTGTACCCCTCCTGCCAAATAGTTGTGCTGTCATGCTGGTGGATTGGATTACATGCCCCCTCTCCCCTCCCTTAAGATCTCTGGCCTCCCTCTCGTGACCTGTATATACACAGGATTCTACATGGGAGAGAAAATGTCTTTCTGCATCTGGCTTATTTCCCATTATGATCTTAGTTCCATCTATTTTTCTGTGGATGTCATGATCTCAATTTTTTATGGCTGAGTAAGGTTTCATTATGTGTACATCCCACTTCCTTGATTCATTGTTGATGGATGTCTAGGCTGGTTCTGTTTCATAGCTACTGTGACTGCTGCAGCAATAATCATGGATGTGCAGGCGCCCCGCACTGTGCTGATGTCAGGTGTTTGGGTGTGTATGAGGAGTGCTGTACCTGGGTTTGGTTCTTCACTTGTTCCTTTGGGTGGTTTGTGGTGTTTGTTTGTTTGACCCCCACTGTGGCTGCACAAACCAAAAGCGCCTGTCTCTCCACACCCTTCTCTTGTTTTTGGAGGAAGCCATTCTTAGTCAGATGAGAAGCAATCTGAGCCATTTCTATCCATGGCCGTGAGGATGCTCAGCACTTTTTCTGGGTAAAAACGGCCATTTGTGTTGGTTTTGTGGGAACCACCTATTCTTTTCATCGGCCCATTTATTCATCGATGATTTAAGAGTTTGGTGTTTCATTTCTGCAGTTACTCTTGTATTCTAAATATGAAATTCCTAGCTGATGTGTTCTTGATAAAGATTTCTCCCCCGTTTGTAGGCTCCTCCGCACACTGTCTCCACTCCAGGGAGAAGCTCTTTAATCCAGTGTGATCCCACTCATTAGTTCTTGGATTTATGGAACTCGAATTTGAACTCATCTTTCCAGTCACAACACTTTATTGCTACCACGTCAAGGTAGCTTTCAAATGTGTCTCTAATTAATCGACATCTGTGACAAAGGCCTTGTGTTCCCTGATCTCATTTTCACAGATATTTGCGGGGTGTTTTCGATGACAGTCCCTGGAGTCCTGCACAGCAGCGCAGAGTGGAGGCTCGGCTGTGCCCTCCATCACAGGGACACGGCCTGAAAGCTAAAAGACGTCATTTCGGGGGCAGATGTGCTGCTTTATGGCTTGGGACAGCTTTTAGTTTAACTGCACCTGCCCTGTTCTTTGTGATGGTGCAAATTTTGGAATTTTTCAATGCTGTCATTGGACGAAAGCCTGTGACCCTCAGCCTGTGGTCTGGGTGGCTTGGCTCCTCACTGTCTTCTGCCCTTTACACTGCATGCCACCTGTCACTTTGTCCAGCCAGAGCCTCAGGTGAGAGAGTGTGCTTGTGCTCTGGCCCCTTCCCAGAAGGCCAGCGAGAGAAGCTTTGTCTAAGAGCTCATTGGTTTTGAGTTTAAATGAGCCTCTACCCACAGTTTGCTTCAGTAAAGCATGGTGGCGGTTCTTACTCGGCTCGCATAGCCTGTCTTGAGGGTCTGATCTTACAGATAGGGAAATACATTTTGTTTCCTGTGTTTAACAAAAGGCAGATTGCCTGGGCCTTCCTTGGGCCTTGCTGCGTGTTGTAAAGCTTCCTGTGTCTGCTCGCCCGCCGAGTGTGGAGAGGCACCGTGGCGCACCTGCGTGAAGAAGCCTGCAGATTGCTACCCCGGCTAAGACATCTGGCCTGTAAAAAGTGCCGTTTGATGCAGATTTCACACTCCTTCTCTATCCAGACAGCGGCGACTCTGGGGATGTTTCCGGGTGACTGATGTCTACCTGGGCGTTAGGTTTTGGCTGAAGTTGTCTTCATGTCTTTCCTGAATTGGCCTGTCAGGTGGAGTGGTCAGACCTTGGTGTAGACAAAGGTTAGGAGCTGATTGTGGGTTCTTTGGGCTCTTTTGGTGCGTCAACAGTTGTCATGCGTTTGTTAAGGTGTGCACTGTTAATTAAACCCACCCACACCCTCGACACCCGCCCCCCCAACTTTTCCTTTCCAAACCACCTGAAAACCACTTGCTGCTATTTCTAGGTGTCCTGGAGCCTCTTACCGGAGAGTTGATCTAGAGAGAAGGAGAACTAGTCAGACTCAAACACAGATTGAAGGTGAAACCGGATCCACTGGACTGGATCCTCCTGGCACCTCCCCCCCTGAAACGGACTGCTTGGGCACCGTGCCTGCCGAGCGGAACCCGACACCTGCGCCTCTCCCTGTGTGGCCGGAGGAGCCCGGCCTGGACAACCCTGCCTTCGAGGAGAGCGCTGCGGCCGACCGTATGTGCAGCCCCCCCTTCCTGTGCTCGCCGCTCTCCCTCCCTTTCCTCCACTGCCCGCCTGACGCCCCGGTCAGACGGCTGCACTGGAGTAGGCTTTGCGGCCACACCATCCTCTCTGCCCCCAGCAGCCCGAGCTGGCTGCAGTCCAGAAACAGGAGAGAGTCTTAACTGGAGGAAGACGTCCTCCCATCCTTCCCCACTGGGGTCTGCTAGTCTCGTGTGTGATGAGAAGCACGCTTGCATCAATAGCATCCACAGCCGCCAAACCACAAAAGCAGCTCAGATAGTCACTGTTCCTAAACACTGTGTTTATTTAGGAAATGTTTGTAACATGAGGACATTTAAAAAAAAAAAAAGAAAGAAAAAAAACCAGGTTAAGAAGCTGAGCCTTGAAAGATGGCAGCTCAGAGAGCCCCGCTGGGACAGCAGATGCGTCCTCTGAGTCCGCTCCTCCACAGCGCTGCTCTCGGCACAGAGCCCGGGGCGGTGGGCCCTTGACTCCTAGACGCCCTTTCTCTTAGACACCGGGAGTCACCCTCCCTGTTCATATAGTTCTTGACATGCCCCTCAGGGCTCGAGGCAGCGGTGGCCTTCCTCAGCTCCTTCTGTGAATGTGTGCTCCCTGGTGACCGCGAGCATAGTAATTATTTATCGATGGTTACCGAGCGTGGGTGGAAGAAGAGTTGGGCTAGTTTTAACCGTGTCTTATTGGTTGGTCGTTGCTCACCTACAAGACCCCACGTTGCGCCGGAGAGAGTCTGAGCATGCGCTGTTGCTGTTTTCTTGGCAGCTGTACAGCAGCCGCTCAGTTTACCAGAGGGGGAGATCACCACCATCGAGATCCTCCGCTCCAACCCATACATCCAGTTAGGGATCAGCATCGTGGGCGGCAACGAGACGCCACTGATCAACATCGTCATCCAGGAAGTCTACCGGGATGGCGTCATCGCCAGAGATGGAAGGCTCCTTGCCGGAGACCAGATTCTTCAGGTAACAGCAGCTCTGCCGCTCTGTCAGCATGTGCCGTTTGGTTTTACAGCTTAGACAACTGTGGTGTTATAGAACCCGGGTTATACCAAAGTTGGTTTTGCTGGGGGGCTTTATTGATTTTATTTTATTTTTTGGAGATTGTGTAGCTCTGACTGGCCTAGAACCTGATAAGTAGATCAGGCTGGCCTCAAACTCATAGAGATTTACCTGTCTCTGCCTCCTGAGTGCTGAGGTTAAAGGTGTGCGCCACCATACCCAGCTATCTTTATTGGAATTTTGTTATGCTTTGTTTTTTGAGTCAGGCTGTTTTATGTAGCCCAGGCTAGCCTCAAACTCTCTGTTACCCAGGCTGGCCTCAGCCTCTCTGTAAGTGCTGAGATTGCAGTTTTGCTCGTTGTGTGTACAGAACAGGCCGGGGATTGTGTGTGATTTGAATGTTCAGCCCCTGTGTGGCTGGACACTTGGGTTTGTTTGACACGGACACTCCTGGCCTGCACTCTTGATGGCCGTTCCCGCGACACCATTGACCAGGCTAGGTGTCTCTTTCCCGTTGGTTTTATTTCATACCATTCCCCTCCATCCCCTCCCTGCATGTCTGACTGATCTTGCGTTTATTGATGGCCGGAATGGGAAGACAGACCCGCACAGCACTACTGCTGATGACACTTTTTTCTCATCATCCTGGGGATTCCGTGTGACGCTAGGCAAGCACTCTGCCACTGAGCTCACCTCAGCCCGAGGTGAACAAGTTTGTAGCACAGAATGTTAGGTACAACTCCTATCTCTTAGTCCACGATGCCCTGCCAGTGTCCAGCTCCGGGTTGTCGGTCACTCCCCTGTGGTGTCCTCCCCGAGTGCTGCCTCCAGGAAGAAATGGTCCGGAAGCAGCAGCACAGGACCAGATACTCTCCTTATTAGAGAGCGTCACTGCAAGGGTGGGGACAGCCGGTGTCCTGTCTCACAGAACCGGGGTCGGTGGGAAAACTGCCCTGGGCCTTTGAGTCACTGTGAGTTGAAAAGAAAAGAAAAGAAAAGAGAAGAAAAAAGGATAGTTTCTAGGAGAAAAATACAAACAAGGGGGAAACCGCCTTCCCAGAGCCCAAGCACAAGGGTCTTTCTTGACCTCCTTCGGTCCTCCACTGGGATCTGCGGACTCCTCCCTCCTCCCTCCTCCCTGTGCCCTGCTACCTCTCTAGTTAGGCCTGCACCACTTCATTCCCAGCTTGGTGCCACGCTCTCCATCCAGCAGCAGCCTGTCTCCCGCGCTCCCCCCGGGAGTCCAGCTTGGTCACTTGAGGGGAATGCCGCTGTAACCCGCACTTGCCTCGCATGGTCACCGTCCAGGCCCAGGTGCCTCATCGGCCTTGCCGCTAACGTTTGGTCCCTTTCCTGCGGCGCTCCAGGTCAGCTGCTGGGGACACATTTAAAAGTAAAAGTCTGTCCTGCCCCAGAGAGCGTCCTTCGGTCCCGGGGAAGCCAGCCCTCCTCAGCCTGCCCTCACCTGTGAACTGTTCAGCCATTCTCCCCACCATTCTCTTGCTTTGCCATCACGCTTGGCGCACAGAATCCACCACAAATAGTGAGGTGCCGACGAAGTTCAACCCTAGTGGACGGCAGAGGAATGCACTTGGCTGTGCCGTCCTGTTGAGACTAGCCGTCTCCTGGATCAGAACAAAGCAGGGAGGGCCAGGCTGCAGGGCAGGGCAGCAGGGTTGGTGTGTCCAGCCGCTTGACCATGTGTGGCCACTGGATAGCTGAGACAGACAGACTGACTTTCAAATTGTTTTGGAAGTCAGTTTCTGGCCTGTCGTTCTGTGCGCTGGATCTCGGGTGCCGGTGTGTGTTGCTGCGCTGGCTGCTCAAGGCTGGCCCCACTGTGAGGACACGCTGCTGCTGCACGCACGCACGCACGCACGCACGCACGCACGCCTCCGTTCCTAGCTCGTGCCCTGTATTAGAGGGACTCACAGCTCTTTCCCCAGGTCCACCCTCCCGGGCATCTGACTCCTTGTCTCTCTCCCCATCTGGCCCTCCCAGCGGTGATTTAAGTATATACTTTTGTCTTTTTTCTTTCTTTTTTTTTTTTTAAACATGGTGTGCCATGTTTGAAAATCCCCAAGCAGTAAGGTGGTTCATTTGCAGACTAGTGAACCACATTGTGCTTTTTTTCTCTTAGTAAACACGCAGTCCACAGGAAGAGCTAGATTTTCCCACATTAAACAAAGTCCATATAGGAAGACACACACACACAGCACACATTCACTGAAGCCATCTTTACAAAGGGAGCCTGGGCTCTCACGGCTTTCTGCACCTCTTCAGAGATTCACGTGCAGCCTTTTGAGCAGTTTTAAAGAAAAAAATGCCACTCTATAAATTATGTCCATAGTATTAAAAGTGATACCGCTTTTTAGAACATTAAAAATAAAATATTTTCAGTTTGATCAGAAACATCAGTGATTTACGTCGTGTTGGTGAACAACAAAAACCACAGTCAAAATGCATGATAGTTTACTGTCTGTGCTCCTTTTACAAAACCAAGAGATCTTTCCTCTGACTTTCGCTGGTGACCATGCGCTCATGGAGAATGAGGCTTTTCATAGCTGAGTCTTCCCCATCCTGCTTTACAGAGAAAGTGGGCTGCGCGCCTGCAAACTGCTGAAATGCAGAGCTGTGCTTCGGCCAGACATTGTGTCCTCTGTGACTGTCTGAAGATGGAAATGTGAACGTGGTAATAATCCACGCTCAGCTGGACAACTGAAATGATGATGGACCCATGAGTCCTGTCAACCCGTTTTTCTAGAAGATTCTTTGGCGTTCTAGTCTCGGGCCAATGTTAGTTATCTGTCAAAGCCCGCATAAATGTTAAAAACATGAGAGAATATAAACTCGGATGTATGCCTGCAAGTTTGATGACTGAATTTTAAAAGGTACCCATAGACCCAAACCAAAAAAATTCAAGGTAGTATTGTTCAAAACTATCAAACCCAGAAAATAAGCAAAAGAAAGAAAGCAGCCCAAATTCAAAAAGATAGAACTGTTGATAGACTGTTGATCTCAGTCAGATATGTAAGAAGGGGAAGGCCTTGTTTAATGTTTGGGAGCCTTGAGGATTCCAGGTGATCATACATTCCTAACCCAGAGCTGTCTCATTAGTGATGCTGGGCGAACATTGGTTTTATCTCGGATAGATTCAAAGAGCTCTAATTGTGATAAGTAGGAAAATTATGCTCACCTCCTAGGTGGATAATTGAAGCTGGACTATTTTCCTAAGTGATGTTACATATTCAAAGATCAGTCATTGTAATTGTATCAAGGCTGTACATTGTAATGAGTACATGAATGTTGAATTACACTCAGCATATTAAATATGTATTATATGTGTATGCTGATAATTAGGATGGAGTTGTAATTACATACTTTAAAAGTCACTCAGAATATGCAACTTTTTAAGAAATAAAACGATTTATTTTGTCTCTCATAAATGTGTTTCATTAGGGAACACAACTTTGAAATCCAGCGGAGTTGAGCCCGCGAGCCTCGAGAGCTGTGCGAGGTTCAGGCTTGCCCTGGCGGGACGCGGCCTGCTCCCTCCCACCCTGGTCCTGTGAAGTAGAGGCAGAGCCAGAGGAGCAGGCGCTAGATGAGTTCCCTGTTCCCGAGGTTGTCAGTAACTAGAACCAAAGCCTCTAATGTCAGCTGGTGTTTCTAACCACGCCTCAACTCTGTGCTGTTTGTCATTTTTAAATTCTATGCTGTAAGTCTTTAGGGTGGTTTTCTTTGTAGGTAAGGGATCCTCTGGCATTTTCTCCGTATTGGTTTCCTTTGGAGATGTCATCTAGACATTTCTGCAAGTTAGGAAAATAAAACTTTGCCGTGCATTGGTCCTAGGGGTTTTGTGTGTTCGTCTGCTGTTTCAGGTCAACAACTACGACATCAGCAATGTGTCCCATAACTACGCCCGGGCCGTGCTCTCCCAGCCCTGCAGCACGCTGCAGCTCACGGTGCTGCGGGAGAGGCGCTTCGGCAGCCGAGCGAACAGCCACGCGGACGGCAGCGCCCCTCGGGACGAGGTCTTCCAGGTGATGCTTCACAAGCGCGCCTCGGCGGAGCAGCTGGGCATTAAATTAGTCCGCAGGACCGATGAGCCGGGCGTCTTCATTCTTGACCTTCTGGAAGGGGGGCTGGCAGCGCAGGATGGCAGGCTCAACAGCAATGACCGGGTCCTGGCCATCAACGGACACGACCTGAAGCACGGGACCCCAGAGCTCGCTGCCCAGATCATTCAGGTAAACGCCTGACCCGAGCCTGTGCGTCAGTCACAGGGCTGCCTGTTGCACTGGCACTTAGGAATCCAGGGCCATCCATGTTTCTGTAAAGTCTGCAAACTCCACGCTCCTGCCTAGAACGCCCCCAGATGGAGCTGTGTTAGTTTGGGGTTGTTGTTGTTGTTGTTGACTGTTTTCCTGAAACCTGTGTCCCCGTGTGCTTTGGGACTTGTGCGGAGCCTACAGTGTAGGCTCCACAGCTTTGCAGCTTTCCAGAGAGCAAGAGTTTACTTCAGCCAGTAAGCTTGTCGAAGTCCTTTTCAAGGGAAGTTGTGATTCTGATGTGGGGCTCTCAGGTGTTACAGCAGGGCCGTGGGTGTGTATTGTAAGAAAATCCCAGGTAGCCATTGACACTCCCCACGGTAATGGTGTGGTCCTCAGAGCCATCAGGTCAGGCTATAAATGTCAGGACTCTGATTCAGGTCACCTCAGCATTACCTGTTGGACCCTGGAGACGCTGCTGAAGTGGCGAATGATTAATGCATAGAGCTGTCTCCCACTTACTCTCCAATCGGAGAACCCGAAGTGAAGCCATCTTTATATTTTACTAAGTGGTGTGTGTGTGTGTGTGTGTGTGTGTGTGTGTGTGTGTGTGTGTGTGTGTGTCTGGGTGTGTCTGGGTGTGCCACCATGGTGTGTAGAGATGAGAGGACAGTTTTCTAGCTCTCTTCTTCCACTACGGAGGCCTCGGGGATTGAGTGTAGATCATCGGGTGTGGCAATGAATGCCTTTACCCTCTGAGCCACCTTTCCAGCCCATAAAGGGATTTCTTACCATCCGTCATTTTAATCACAGTGAAGTTTCTACTTCCCATCACAGTTCCTTAAAGCAGGCTGTGAGTTTCTGTAGGAGAAACCGTAAAGTTGGAGGTTTGTGGTGGTGACTGAGAAGAACCATCGGGTAAGTCCGATGTGCTTTAAAGAGCGGGACAGCATGACCTCAAGTATGATAATGCGTGAACCTCGATGTTTGAAACACAGACAGCGGTCTACGAGCCTCCAAATAATTTAACTCTTAAAGGTGTGTGTGTGTGTGTGTGTGTGTGTGTGTGTGTGTGTGTGTGTGTGTGTGTCAGTGTCAGAGTTTGGAAATTATTAGCCTTCTTCTGCCACCAGGTAGTGACTGCCCAGATGAGGCTTTGGTGCCGTGACTAAGAAGTACATAGGGAGTTCCAGTGTCCCCAGGCATTGTATCCTGAAGTATCCAGGGGGCTGAGGCAGGAGCCTCTAGCCTGTGTTCCTTAATGAGAACCTACCTCAATGAGGAGAAGAGAGGAGAGAGGGGAGGGGAGGGGAAGGGGAGGGCAGAGGAGAAGAGAAAGAGTTCCACTAAGATCTCTAAGGCACAAACATCTTGTATGATGGACAGTGATGAATGTCTTCTCCAGGCCAGTGGGGAGAGAGTGAATTTGACAATTGCCAGACCGGGGAAGTCCCAGCCTAGCAATGGCACCCGTGAAGCAGGAGCAGGAGCACACAGCGTCAGCCAGCAGCATGCACAGCCACCCTCTCACAGCCGGCCAAGCTCACACAAGGTGAGGACGCTCCGCGCCTTCAATTTACATCACCCTCTGAGGATCGTTGTTAAAGCCTGAGAAGATGTAAGGACAGGCTTTTCGTATGCCCGTCAGAACACAGTATAATGTTTGGTTCGTTTTTCAAGCCTGAAATGCAGGCTGTCATTCTGTTGGAAACCCCCAGGTGTCTGGGGTGTGAAGCCTGAGAGTGGCCTCCCCAGTCAGCCTCTTGTCAGGGAGGCTGCCTCTGTCAGGTGATTAACAAGAAGGGCTACTCCACGGCTCAGTGCTACGCCTAAGTCGGTCTCCTCGGCTTGCTTGTGTAAATGTGATCACTGGTCTACAGCTAAAAAGGCACCATGAAAACATGCTTAAGTCCATGGTGAGCAGGTGGGCATGTTGCCTACGGTGACAGGATTAGCTGTGTGAACACTGATGGACTCTGAGCTTTGACAGGCACATGGATAGCATCTGTGGTCATGGTATTAATATCCCTGTCGATTGGCCAGGTGTGGTGGTGCACGCTTTTAATCCCAGCACTCAGGAGGCAGAAGCAGCCGGATCTCTGAGTTCCAGGACAGTCAGGACTGCAGTCAGACAACTGTCTCAAAAACAGCTTTTCGGTCCTCATAGGAGTCAAGTCCACAGTCCCTTTGTAACCACCACTGAAACTTGGTTTAGCCTGGTTTTACCTCGGCTGCATGTCACTAATTTCTTCTTTACTTGTAGGACCTCACTCAGTGTGTCACATGCCAGGAGAAGCATATCACTGTAAAGAAGGAGCCACATGAGTCCCTTGGGATGACGGTTGCTGGTGGCAGAGGGAGTAAGAGTGGTGAGCTGCCCATCTTCGTGACCAGCGTGCCACCCCACGGCTGCCTCGCCCGAGACGGCCGAATCAAGAGAGGTAAGGCAGGGTCTTGGAAGACGTGCCGTGTTCATCTCAGAACTAAGGTCACACTTTAAAGAGTAATTACTGTGTTTTGGATTAAACGTGACTTTTAAAAACCTTTTAATTTGTCCTTGTATAGAAAACAAAATATTTTTCTATAAGGTTAGGAAAATTAACCCTGATGATGGTTAGAGACCTGCAGTTTCTCAGACTGTTGGCTTATTTTGATCCTGGAAAAGATCCAGCTTATAGCAGATGATGCTGAAGGGCCTTCTCACGGAAATACAACATAGATTATGGTAGAGTGTCCGGGGCCCGGGTGATGCTGAGCGGCAGGAGCGCCCGCTGCCCAAGCCTGATGCCCCAGCTCTATCCCTGGACCTTGATAGAAGGAGACAAGGCTTCAGGAAGTCATCTTCTCACCTCATGCAGCTGCCATGCGAGTGGGCAGAAGATGAGAGGAGCGGCAGAGGACAAACTTGATTTTAGAGGTTAACTCCTGTCCCTCACAACTCTCAGTGTGCAGAGACGGGAACATGTGCCTGGACACTGTTGCCATGGTCGACTAACTGATGTCACTGCTGATGTACTTCATGTGGGGAGAAAATTGAACAAAGCCCACCTTCTCCCTTCACAAAGGCCCCATGGGAAAGCCCCCATGTAAAAACAGCCCTGTGACCTGTAACTAGGCAGCAGTTTCTTAGGTAACCCTCAGAGTGAGAGAAAACGTTTGCAAGTCTCACACTTATGTATGGGTACGTGGCTTGTCAAGAAATTGTAAACAACTTTTCCAACTCAGTAAAAACCGAAAGTTACCTAATTTAAAGACAAAAATAGACATTTCTCCCAAGGAGACAGTCACATGCAAAACTACTCAACATAACCGGTCATCAGAGAGACAGCCCTCAACCTGTCCTAAGATGTCCTAGAATCACAGTGGTGGTGGTGGTGTTCTTTGGTCCACATATAAGACCACAGAGCTGGGTGGGATGTTTTTTCTTTGTTTGTTTGTTTGGTTTGGTTTTTGGTTTTTTGAGACAGGGTTATTCAGTGTAACAGCCCTGGCTGTCCTGGAACTCCCTTTGTAGCCCAGGCTAGCCTCAAACTCAGAGATCCACCTGCCTCTGCCTCCCAAGTGCTGGGACTAGAGGCATCCACCATCATTGCCCTGCTACCTGGGTGTTTTAAAAAGAGGGTTCAAGTACAGTGCAGAGTATATTTCAATAAGGATACTATTTTTAAAAGTTTAGTAACTTTTGTAGAATTTGGTGACATTTCAGTTCCTTCTTGGTTTTGTTTTATTTTTTTTGTTTTGTGTGTCCACGCACTTCTGAGTTTTCCTTTTTATTTTTTATTTTTAGTCCATAGCCATTTGTTTATCTTTGTAATGCTCTCAAAAATTGAATTACACAGAATAACAATCTAAACCCCGCCTTTCCTCAAGGAAGATACGGAAGGATTGTTTATGACAACCACACCCTTCACAAACAGTGGCTCCAGAGTCACTAATGTGACTGATACGTTCGCACTGTGTGCTCTGCACGCAGATCTGTGCTTTGCCTCCCCGCATGCCCTTCCTGGTCCGAGGCATCTGCCACCACCCAGCGAGGTAGCAGACACGGAGGCGTTACAGGGATGTCAGCACCCTAGCCTGCGGTGGGCTCTGAGCAAAACGGTCCACAGTACAGTGAAAATGAGCACACATTACATAATACAGCGTTCATATAGGAAGTGCAACAGAGAGGAAGAACAGAGCTTGTCTTCCTTCTACTCTGAAGGTAAAACCAACAAGTCCAACTCTCCGAGTATCGTCAAAAACATAAAGCAGTTCCTCTGAGGGCTTTTTGCTGAGCCTGTGAGAAAAGACTTAATAATAACTATTTTCCTTTGGCTGTGTGTAACTTACAATGATGTGTGAGGTCTTTCTTTTTTATTTTTATTTATTTATTCTTCTCTCATGTAATACCCCGGACCTCAGTTTCCCTTCCCTCCACTCCTCCTAGTTGACGCCCCACCAGGTGGAGGGGCTGAAGTCCCAGCAGGACACAAGAAAGGAGGTGGGGCCTTTCTTGTGTCCTGCTGGGACATCACCTGAACTCGGTTAACAAGGTACAGTAAGACTGGGTACCAACCCATGTATCAAGGCTGGGTAAAGCAACCCAGTAGGAGGGGAAAGTCCCAAGAACAGGCAAAAGAGTTAGAAACAACCCTTCTCCCACTGTTAAAGAGACCCACAAAAACACGAAGCTAACAACCATAACATACATGCTGCATGATAGCCCAATCAGTCTCTGTGGGCCCCACATAGCTGATTCTGTGTGCCGTGTTCTCATGGTGTCCTCAACCCTCTGACTCCTTCAGTCCTTCTCCCCGTCTTCCATGGGATTCCCCAAGCTCCGAGGGAAGGGACCTAATGATCTCCAATTTGGGGTCTCTCCACCTACTGTCTGGCTGTGGGTCTCTGCATCTGCTCCCATCACCTGCTGGAAGAAGCCTCTCTGGTGATGATTGGGCTAGGCACCAATCTGGAGTTCTGGTGGCCAGAGTGGCCTCTCCTAAGTTTTCAATAATGAGAATACTTTGCTTTAATAATCTGAAAGATAGATGATAAATAAGGGGAGATTTTCTGAAGCCATTGCAGCACAATTGTCTATTTTCAGAATTTTTCTAACCTTTTCTAACCCCTTTTATTTTTTAATAATCTCTGTAGCTCTTTTTCATTCCAAACATGTTGTTGTTGCCCCTCAAGCAAGGGGCCATTTCTATATATAAAGCTGTATAATATTAAATAGAATCTGTTAAAGTTATTTCTAAGAGCAAAGGATCGAACAGTTTGGGCATCAGAAAGCACTGCAGAGCTCTCTGAAGCTCAGTGGAGAGCAGCAGTGCTCACCCCTGTGCACAGCTATGAGGGGTAATGACTCAGACACAGACCTTACACGGTGCTTCCAGACAGTTTTCCCTCTGTAGTCTGGCATTAGTTTGAGTTTTGAACTGTTGTGGAATGTTCTCTGTGAATTGGAAAAATTGCCCTTGGTGGTACAGAAAATCACAAATAATTAAAAACCCATCTTCATCTGTAGGCAGAGTTTTCCCATCCCAAGAGCCACTTCCAAATTACCACACAGAGGCTTATATTAATTATGAATGCTCAGCCAATAGCTCAGATTTATTATTAACTAGCTCTTAACATCTTAAGTTAACCCACATTTCTTATTTGCCCTCTGCCACATGGTGGTACCTTTATTGGCATTGAACATTCATCTCGTCCCTCTGTGTCTGCTGGCGACTCCTCAGACTCCGCCCTTCTCTTTCTCAGCGTTCTCAATTTGGCTTTCAAAACAACAAACCTTATTCTATTCAACTATCAGCCAGTCAACTTGTTTATTAAACCAATCACAGTGACAAATCTTCAAGTGTTATAAAGGGATTATTCCACAGCATTTCCCCCTTTTTGTCTAATTAAAAAGAAAGGTTTTAACTTTAGCATAGTAAAATTATATCCAACAAAAACAGTTATCAAGTAAGAATTACAGTTACAATATCTAGTCTATTTGTATATGACAAAATTAGAGAAAATATTATCTATTTTATCTTTGTGAGTCTAAAGTTTTGTACTTAATTTACCTTCTGTTACAACTAAGGAAAATGATAACTATAACTATCTAGTCTTCAACTCCATAAAAGACTCCAGAAGGATGAAATGTTACCTAATGACAGGGACTTCAGGCTGCCTGGACAGTCACCCAAAGTTCCTCTGTAACATTGGGGCATCCAGCTCTGGCCCACAGGCCTAGAATATCTGACAGGCTTTCCTATGAAGCAGGGGATTCTGAAGGGCTGTCCTACCTTGTCTTGGCAAAGTTGGCAGTCGTCTTTCTTGGGTCCTGCTGGTCCAGTTTGGACAGTAACTGTCAGCAACTGAGGCAAGGGCAGTTTCTTTGCCCACATGGCTAGCTTTTGCCATAAAGAAAACAAACTCCATGTGGAGTTTCTTCAATACCCATCATCCGGTTTGTAGTATTGGTGCTGCCAGGAGCAGACATGTCTCACTGTTGAGAAAAGTCTAAGTTCGTAAAACATTTTAAATGCCACATTCTGTAAGTCTTTGAAGTGTTTGAAGATTGCTTGTCTATCTGAACTATATATCTGCATGACCTTGAAAACCTAATATGACTAAGTTTGCTATTATAGATGAAATATGTTTTTTTATTTGTATTTCTTTTTTTTTTTTTTTTTTTTTGGGTTTTCAAGACAGGGTTTCTCTGCGTAGCTTTGCGCCTTTCCTGGAGCTCACTTGGTAGCCCAGGCTGGCCTCGAACTCACAGAGATCCGCCTGCCTCTGCCTCCCGAGTGCTGGGATTAAAGGCGTGCGCCACCACCGCCCGGCTTATTTGTATTTCTTAATTATGTATTATATTTTTAAATGAGCTGAATAAACATAATACCCTAAACAAGATTAGAAATATACATACAGTATAACAGAATTAAAGTAGATTCAGTAATCTACTCTTTTATCTAATCATTTCTATATCCTATCCCCCTATTTTCCTTTAGAAAGAGATCTTTGAATCTCAGTACTTTGATTAGTAGGGGGGTTTGTTTTGTTTTGTTTTGTTTTTCTATGACCAATAATAATTTGCAACCAACCCCCCTAAACAAAGATAAGCATCTATAATCCATTTTTTGGAAATGTGGATGTAGTTATCCTGACTACTTCCTGATGATTGGGGGCACTGGTAACCAATCTATGGGGTTAAGAAAATTCAGGATAATGGTCAAGTCCTGGCTGGAGTAGTCTATGAGGCTGAATCATCTCAGTCAGCAGCCTTAAAGCTGTGTTGGATTTAGATCACCTGGGTTATCCAGGATTCCTTGCCCTGAAAATACACAAACTTTTAAAGATACCATACATATCTGTATTAATACAAATATAGACTGTGCATTGTACACAAGTCAGCCAAAGATTATTTTTTGTTTGGTTGGTTTCTGTTTTTGTTTTTTAAGACAGGGTTTCTCTGTGTAGCTTTGCACCTTTCCTGGAACTCATTTGGTAGCCCAGTCTGGCCTCGAACTCACAGAGATCCACCTGGCTCTGCCTCCCGAGTGCTGGGATTAAAGGCATGTGCCGCCGCCGCCGCCGCCACCACCACCACCACCACCACCACCACCACCACCCAGCAAGATTATTTTTTGTTATGTGTTAGAGCAGATCAAATATATGTTACCTGTTTTGTAGTTTTCGTGGATTTTTTTTATGTCTGTAGCCAGGATTTCAGGGGATCTTCCTCAATCAAACCTGATTTTCCTTAATCCAGAATGACTCCATAGCCTCTCATTTCCCATGGAAACAAAAGCATAATCTCTCCCAAAGCAACATCTCTTTTGACTTAAATTTTGAAATCAAGATGATTTGAAAACATATAGGTTGTCCGGACAGTGGTGGTACAGGCCTTTACTCCCAGCACTCAGGAGGCAGAGGCAGGTGGATCTTAGTGAGTTCCAGGCCAGCCTGGTCTACAAAGTAAGTTCCAGGACAGCCAGGAATGTTACACAGAGAAACTGTCTCAAAAAAACCACACACACACACACACACACACACACACACACACACACACACACACATATTGTTTTAATCTAGCAGTTTCATAAGCCAGTGTTTCTTAGCAGCTAAAAAATTCAATGACAACACAATAACATACAGGATTCAGTTTCTCTGTGTATTTTCCATTTTTATGTGGCTTTTTTTATTTTATATTACTTTACTCCCTTTTTAAGGACTTTGTTTTATTATTTTAAAACTATACTTTTCTTTTTTATGACTGTCTGTCCTCTTTTTCTTTTCTCTCCCAAGCCTTCGTACATTTTTAAACACACTGTAACCCGTTTAGAGGTTTCTTCCATCTGAATCTGTCTTTACTGCATGTCTATAATCCTTTTTTGTCTGCATGGGCAAAATTTAAACTGCTGTGTAATTTAGATCATGGTGTGCTGGTGGCTGGCTCCTCCCCCTTGGTTCCCTGAAAGGCTAGCTTCATGGCTGAGGTACATTTACCACCAGCTCTGAGACCCATGTTTTCTGGCCCAACTCTGGAAAGTTTTTGGGTCCATGCCGCCACCAAGTAGCATGCCATCCGCTGCTCGTAAACAATGTTTTAGTGTTTGGCAGCAGGGCCTCTGAAAAGAGCCACCCTGTTTTTGCTGCTAGTACTGACCCAGGAAGCCATCTCTTAAAGGAGCCATGACTCTACTCACCGCCAGCAAACAGAACCTAACAGATAAAAGACAATTACCAAGAAGCAGTGCTTGACTCTATTTTTGTTTGTTTAGAATCCTTTTTTAAGCTTTTTTAGGTCTTATGTGGACATTCCTGCCCCATGTTGAGCTGCCATATATAGTCAGAAGTTTTCCTGTCCTGACCATTCACTCCCCTTCCTGGCAGCTGCTTCTAAATTATCACACAGAGACTTAATATTATTTACAAATGCTCGGCCAATAGCTCAGGCTTGTTACTAGCTAACTCTTACATTTAAATTGACCCATATTTCTCTTTATGCTTTGCCACATGACTCATTGCTTGTTACCTTATTTTCTACATATCCTGCTTGCTCGGTGGGTGACTGGAGTCTCTCTGACTCCACCCTTTTTCCCATCAGTCTCCTAGTTTGGTTGTCCCACTTATAATTCCTGCCTGGCTACTAGCCAATCAGTGTTTTATTAAACCAATTTGAGTGACAGATCTCTACAGTGTACAAAGGATTATTCCACAGCTTTCATCCCATCTGAGTTCCTGAAAATGACCCGTTGATTGGTTGGCAAACCAGAGCTCATGTCATTCTTCTGGCTTCCCCAACGGCACAGGTGATGTGTTGCTGAATATCAACGGCATTGACCTGACCAATCTAAGTCATAGCGAGGCTGTGGCCATGCTGAAAGCCAGTGCTGCGTCTCCGGCTGTCGTCCTCAAAGCCCTGGAAGTCCAGATTGTGGAGGAGACCGCCCAGACCTCAGAGGAGCAGCCAGGTGCTTTCAGTGAGAATGAGTACGATGCCAGCTGGTCCCCGTCCTGGATCATGTGGCTCGGGCTGCCAAGGTACCAAGAGCGTCTTTTGTTATCTTACAGAGTGATCATATTTTCTTAACCTTTATCAGTATGTTACACAGTTAACTCACCCAGTGGGGAGGCAGGGCTTTAATTAGGTAAAAGTGCATCAAATTATTACAACAAGTTTTAGGTAAATTTAATAACAACTAAGCTAAAAAGGTTTGTATCTACTTGTGAAAAAGAAGACACTTTTGGCGGTTCCCATTGAGGAGGGTTCGTTTTGCCTTGTTTTTTGAAGGGGACAGAGTATGCATTTGTACCCCTGCTGGGATGACGGGCACACCCTCCACACCACTCCTGGCTGTTGTTTTCTGGGGTCCTGGGGACCCAGACTCAGATCCTCATGCTTGCACGGCAGGCGCTTACCACGGAGCCGCCTTACCTTGAAAAGGCAGAATTTGGGGTTCTTGAGGCAGCAAGCATCTCACTCTGTAGCCCAAGCTAGCCAAGCACGGATGATCCTTTTGTAAGAAGGCAGAACTCAGCCTGTGTTGAACACAGGAGGTGTGACCAGTGAGATAGACGCTCTGTGGCTGGCTGGCGGGGTCCTGGAGACATTGGACCCTCCGGCGACACCCCAGGGTGCTGGCCTTCTCCAGACGGTTGATGTTTGGTGTTGAGATAGAGGGAGTGTGTGTAACTATGGTGATTTGTATCTAAAATAGTGTAGATCCTCATTATCTATAAAAAGCATCACAAAACATGTTTGACTATTAGCCAAGAATGAGACGGCTGGTTCTTAAATAAAAATAAACCAGGAAAATGCACCAGTTTCTGAGTCATCCGACTCGTGTGGGTAGCGTACAGTGCAGAGCATTTGCGCTCACTGTATACTTCGTCAGATCTGTCACATGACGAACAGCAAGAACGCCATGGGTATTGGGTTTCAGTTGTTGACAGCCCGGTTTGCTGGCTTGTTCCCATGCATTTTGTTTTGTTTTTTATTTTACTTATAAGGCCTAGAACTCACGTCTCATAGACATAGCAGGACCTTGTGGAGTGATGGTAGCAAAGATGATGTCATACGTGTTTATCGATGCATAGAAACTGGAGATCAGGGCTGCAGAGATAGCCCAGTGGTTAGAGCGCTTGCTGCTCTTGCAGAGGACCCTGGTCCAGTTCCCGGCACCCACATGGCAGCTCACAACCATCTGTAACTCCAGTTTCAGAGAATCCAACACCCTCTTCTGGTCTCCCCTGGCACTGTACACATGTGGTGCACATGCATACATGTAGGCAAACACCCATACACATAGAATAAAAGTAAATCCTTTTTGAAAAACAGATGTAAATGGTTGGTGTCAAACTGTTACAGAGCTGCAGTCTAAACTGCGTCATCAGAGTCATTCTAGAGCAGTGAATCTTTTTTGGGGGGCAGGGGAGCAGGTTTTGAGACAGGGTTTCTCTATAGCCCTGGCTGTCCTGGAACTCACTCTGTAGACCAGGCTGGCCTTGAACTCACAGAGATTAAAGGTGTGCACCACCATGGCAGGCTGAGCAGCGGTTCTCAACCTCCCTAAGGCTGCGACCCTTTATTAGTTCCTCACATTGTGGTGACCCCCAAACATAACATTATTTTCATTGCTAGTCCATCGCTGTAATTTTTCTACTGTTATGAATCACAATGTAAATATCTATATTTTCCAATGGTCTTGGGTGATCCCTGTGAAAGCGTCATTTGGCACAACAGGGTCATGACCCACAGGTTGAGAACCTCTGTTCTAGAGCGCTTGACCAGAGAGGATGGGAGCTGGGCGTGGTGGCGCACGCCTTTACTCCCATCCCTTGGGAGGCAGAGGCAGGTAGGTCTCTGTCAGTTTGAACCCAGCCAAGGCTACATAGTAGGACCCTGTCTCAAAAAAGAAGAAGAGAGGCTGGGAGCTGCTTGCCCAAATTATGCAGGCTCGGGGCCCTGCCTCAGGTGATGGAGCAGTCAGAGCAGCAGCCTCCTGAAAAATCCCGTGGTCCTGGTGCTTCCTTAAATTGTCTTTGTGCCAGCCTGAGTGTGGAGGGGCCGCCTCGTCTAACTTTTGTTTGTAGCATTTTATGGTACACTAGGCAGAGCAAGAAAGGATTTGTGTGTGTCAGTGTGTTGGTGGTGTGTGTGTGTGTGTGTGTAGCTGTGTCCACATCTCTTCCTGTCCTTCCCTTCCCCCTCTTTTGTGCCTCTTTGTGCTCAGTGCAGTAGTGCGGTCAGTGCTAGAACCAGGGAGCCGTTGACGGTGCCGTTGGCAGCCGGCTGCCATCAGCGTGTCTGTGTGCTCACGTCTTCCCGTGGCAAGGGAGACGCAACAACAGCTGGAGAAGGTGAGCCTGTCTGCGCATCGTGCAGAGAATGAGGTCAGATAATAGCGCAGGCAGGGCGGGGCAGGCGCCCAGCACGTGCGGGGCTCTGGGCGTGACCCCTGGTGCACGCGCACGCAAACAAGAAACGCTCACCATGTGGTCAAAGAGACGTGAACTTCCTCACGTGCTGTGACGAAGAGGAGCAGAGGGAGAAGCCTGCGAGTCAGTTCTCTCTGTGTTTTTGACAGTGCCCTTCACAGCTGCCACGACATAGTCCTCCGAAGAAGCTACTTGGGAAGCTGGGGCTTCAGTATTGTGGGCGGCTATGAAGAGAACCACACCAATCAGCCCTTCTTCATTAAAACCATCGTCTTAGGAACCCCTGCTTACTACGATGGGAGACTGAAGTGAGTCTTGGTCGTTAACGATGTGGTTGTGCTTCTCATCCTGGCACGGTCCAGCTCAGGTGCAGCGCTCATACCTGCCGTGTGTGTGGTAAATAGAGTGACTTCACCACAGCCACGCTCGTGTGTGTTCTCACCGTCCGTGGCTCCTTCCCCCCCCAGAGCTACGACGTGGTTCTGTATGGAAGCTGTACACACGGGCCACAGAGCATTTATCTACACCAGGTGTGAGCCCAGGTCACCATTCGAGTGTGCTGGAGGGCGGCAGTGGCCCCCGAGCGCTTCCCGCAGAGCTTGTGCAGGTCTCGTCCTGCCGTGGGAGGAGGCCGCTTTATTTTCCCTGAGGTTCATGTCTGCTGACTTTGTGTTCCCGTGAGATCCGTGAATGGGCAGCCATGGCAGTGCCCATGTAGTGAGCTCTCGACAGAGGCTGGGCGGTACCCTACCTAACCTAGGGTATCAGATGCAACACTGAGAGCCGGGTGTTTATCTTAATGTGGGGGGAGCTGGGGCTGTGTGCACATGAGTGCTCGTGCTGTGAGCCCTCTCCCCGGCCTGGATTTGGCACTTTATAGAGAGATGGCCTCCCCAAATAAGTTATTCTCCATGTCCTGTAGTCCCCAGCAGGTATGGGAAGGTTGGCTCGGGTTAGTCTGGATTGGTAAAGGAGAGAGTGCAGGTTTAGACGTGACTCCAGAGTTGGTAATCCCCGTGGCTGGTGACGCTAACCAGGGCAGAACTGTGATTTTGATGCTAACCCACTGGGACTGTGTCTGTGACGCCGTTGAGACAGTGACCCCCGCTCCTGTTTGTGTTTTGTGCAGATGTGGAGACATGATCGTGGCCGTCAATGGGCTGTCGACTGTGGGCATGAGCCACTCTGCTCTGGTGCCCATGTTGAAGGAACAAAGGAACAAGGTCACCCTGACAGTCATCTGCTGGCCCGGCAGCCTCGTATAGAGCTGGACGCCGCTTCCCAGTCCTGCTTCCTCGGCAGCCTCCTGAAGGAAGCCCCCTGGCGTGGCGCTTCTGCGCGTCTACAGACACGGGGCCGAAGCACTAAAGTCACCTCTGTGTCCCGCCGGGAGCTGTGTTCCAGATGCACTCCTCGGGGGCCGCCCTCCCTCCGTGGCAGTGCCAGGAGCCTGTCAAGACTGTCACCCAGCGGGCTGGAAGCGGCTTCCCCGCCTGCAGAAGCTCGGTCATAAAACGATTTACACCTGCACTTCCTGCATCCCTGGCAGCCCAGTGCAGCATTGGCAGCACCCTGTCCTGTCAGCCCGGCTATGAGTGACTCCGTTTCAGGTTTACTCATTCTCCACTGGTGCCAACATTTCAAAACTTTTTATACCATTTATAAGGTGACCTTCTGGGTTGTTTCTACTTCCATCTTCAGTACTTAAATGAAGACATGAATCTAATACCACTAGCGAGATTTCTTTTTAAATAATGTACTGTGGTTAGAATAATAGAGAATCAAAAATAATGCTGTTCAGGGACATTGCGGCCTGGGAGGTGACTGTCCCAGGCTGGCAAAGCTGTGCTGGCTGGAATGGCCCAGGAGCACGAAGATTCTTTTCCAAAGGAATGCTTTGTTAGGTAGGAAAAATTTGAAGATGTTCTTCTAAAAGTCATATCTAGAGTTTATATTTATCAGCAATCTTGTCTGGAGATGTTTTGTGATTTATGCAGTTGAACTAGGTGATTAAAAACCATTACTGTGTTCGATACACACACACACATCACAGCTAAGTTGAAGGGGAGCCTTTGATTTTGTTCCAGTGTGTTTTAGAAGTCCTTAGTTTCCCCCAAGAGACCAAAAAACTCTGTTTGTTTTTGTTTTTTTTTTTTTAATCTGAAATAGTAGATTTTAGGTGTTAATATCTTTAGCTGTTGGTCACTAAACTTACTTTTTCTTTTCTTTTTTTTAATGTTTTGAAAACTATGTTTTCCTTTATTCAGTACAGTCATCCCTTAGAAGGCATAATGAGAAAGTAAATAAGAGGAAAATGTCTTTATAAATGGCATTGATAATCAGAATACGGACTGCGGCATGGTGCTGGAGTGAGCACACTTCCTTCACAGTACGTCGCTGGCCTTCTGTCCACATCGCTGATGAGTCCACTGAAGTTTATAGTTTAAAAAGCTCTTTGTGGTGAGGCGCCAGTAGTTCCTACTGCCTCGTTCACCTCTTAGCTGCCCGCGGTCACCGTGCAGCCAGCCCACCGGGGAGGGGTGCCCCGGGGAGCACTGCTGTGGGACAATCGCCTGGGGAGCAGTTGGATGCTGTAGTGCAATTGACGGGAAAAAATGCTTCCTGCTCCCCAAGTTTTGTAATCAACCTTGCTACTTTTTAAAGACTTTGTAAAACCTGTCATTTCTCTGGGGAGTGGCCATCCAACAATGTCATAACTGCCACTTTGTTATATATAAAAGTATGTCCAACCTGGTGGTCTGGTGAATATTTTTGCAAAAAAAAAAAAAAAAGTGCTTTTAAATATTGTTTTTCTCATGAAAATCTTAGAGAAGAAAACCGTGGCTTTCCGTCAGGGTCTCTATAATGGAAATTTGTCCCTGGTCTGTTACTGTTGAAATATTTGCACCTTTTCATTTAAATACTTTCAGTTGAATGTTTTGGTTTGTTCTGTGCCTTCAGTTTACATTATTCCAGAATTGTTCAGATTCGTTTAATAGTGTGGTGGTCATTCTGGGTGGAAATGCACGCCATCCTTTTCAGGGCAGCGCAGGCGTTCATCCGAGCGCCGTGTTCTTGTCCACGGCTGCCAACCTCACTGCCTGGGGGGAGGGGGGGGGAGGGCACCCCCTGCAGGCAGAGCACACCCCTTAGAGCCCCACTGGCTTGCACATTTCTCAGCACAGCCCCTCTGGCCCTGTCTGTCCAGAGTGTGGCTGTTGAATCCCTGTAGCGTGGCCATGCAGCATGCTGAAATGACAACCTCTTGGATGCACTGGGTTGTACTGGTTTTTTTTTTTTTTTTTTTTTTTTTGGTTTTTCGAGACAGGGTTTCTCTGTGTAGCTTTGCGCCTTTCCTGGAACTCACTTGGTAGCCCAGGCTGGCCTCAAGCGTTGTTGGGATTAAAGGTGTGCGCCACTGCCTACTCTCATTTTGAAATGCGATGATCATCAAGCTCCTCCTCCTCATAACCCTGACATAACAACATGTGACCGGATCCTTTCTACCCACACCTGCAGGCGTTGTCCTCACGGGGTCCTTTGACTGTGGGGTTTGTCCTTCCATCTAAGTGCTTCTGGTTGACTCCGAGCACGCCACTCTAGCTTACTGTCCTGATGAGCTTCAACAATCAGCTTGGCACAAACTAGAGAGTTCCCTGGGAAGACGAAGCCTCAACTGAGGAACTGCCTGGGTTTCCAGTGGCCTCCGGCTGTGTCTGTGGAGCGTTTTCCTGATTGATTGACAGGCCCCAGCACAGTGGATCCATTGATTAGTGGAAGAGCACACAGTAGCCCGGGCCTCCGGTGCCGTCCCTGGACGGACAGGCCTGGGCTATGTAAGAAGGCTAGCTCAGCTGGCCAGGACGCAGCCTGGCTCCTGGCTTGGCTCCTGCGTTCGCTTCCCTCCTGGCCACCTCAGCAGCACTGTGGCAGTTCCTGCTTGTCCCCTCTCTGGCTCAGCTGCCGCAGTTCTGCTGTTCAGTCCCAGTCGGAGGAGACTGTTTGCAAACCATGGCAGTCCTGAGTGCGAGTCCCCACAGCACCTCCCTAAGGGTGCAGTGGAGCGGACTGTGGCCCAGCCTGAAGGACACAGCCACGGCTTCTGAGCGGAGAGGGGGCCTGAAGCTGTTTCTTCTCCTCCAGCAGGAACAGGCGGTGTGGCGGGGAGGACCTGCACCAGCTTTCAGATGTCGGTCGACACCCAGAGAAAGGGGGCAGTCAGCCCGCGATAGTCAGCTTCCTTTTACTGCTCTAAAACGAGATTCCAGAGCCAACACCCCAGCAGAGGAGTGGCTGATTTGGGCCCAGAGCCTCAGACAGCCTGGGTTGAGGCGGCATATATTGGCAGGAAGTATGTGGTGTGTGATGCTGTTCACCTGACATCAGGACGGGAACAGGAAAAGGGCAGGGACCAAAGTCCCACCGTCCAGGGCATGCTCCCCACTGACAAAACATCCCGCCCACGCCCCACTCCTCCAAGGTCCTGTTCCCTCCCGGTGGCACCAGATGCCAGGCACCAAGTGTCGGAGGACACGTGGGCCTCTGGGGACAGTTACCCAGGCCACAGCAGTTGATTTAGAGGGTTTAATTTTCCTTGAGTCCTGTGCAATGTGACTCGGTTTTCAAACGGCCAAATCCTCCCTCTGCCCCAGCTGTTCATCTTTTTTTTTTCTAATTCTGGGACTTCAGAATTTGATTTCTAGTTCTTTGTACTTTACAGCAGGCTACAGTACAGTTCCTCAGATGTCTGAAGCTTTAGCCAGATAAATGGGTGGTTAGAATTCGGCCTGAACTTTACACGCGTGGGTTTCAGCTTCCAGGGATGTTTCTCCCTCCCCCAAACCCTGTGCCCACGTCACAGTTGAGTAACGTCCCGTTCAGATTGGGCTAGGTTGTGGTTTGAAAAGCTCAAGCTGAAGCAACGAGTGTCTTTTTGTTTTTAAGAGTTTTTTTTTTTCTGTTTTTATGTATGTTTGTATTTGTGTCTCTGTGTGTGTGTAGATGTACATTGTGCTGGTACCCAAAGGGGCCAGAAGAGGGCATCTGACCCCCTGATGCTGGAGTTCCAGGTGGTTGGGAGCTGCCCAATGTGGGTGTTGGGAATTCAACTCCAGTCCTCTGCAAGAACAACAAATGCGCTTAACCAGGGAGCCATGTCTCCAGCCAGTACGTGTCTTAAAGAGACATATTAGAAAATGAGAGGTGGCCAGAGGTGGGTGGATCTCTATGAGTTCGATGCCCGCCTCGTCTACGTAGCAAGTTCCAGGACAGCCAGGACTACACAGAGAAACCCTGCCTCATACAAATGAAAGGTGGAGTATTTCCAGTGCATGGTGACGTTCCTCAAGTGTGCAGCGAGGTGGTCAACCCCTTATGTCATTCAGCAACTTATCTGCTGTGTGCCTGGCGTAGAGGTCGTGACTTCTTCACAAGGAGTGGTTTTATAATTCAGCTTTTCTTCCATTTGCTCACATTTGGTGATGGAGCCACACAGACTGCACCAGGGTGTGGTCAGTTTAGGAATTCAATAACTGAACTTGTCTCTTGGGTCTCTCTTCTCTGCCTGCAGAGAGAATGGTTTTAGCCCTTGGGGGTTCTTATCTAAAAGCCCTTTTGACACTTTATAGCGTAAATCTGTTTCATTTGACTATACTACCAATTAATTTCCATGGCAACAGAGACGCTCTTTAGAAGTAAAGTTACGCATCTAAGCCTAAGAGCTGCGAAAGAGCTGCGAAGTGCCTAAGAGAAGCTGAACTGTCGGTCACAGACAAGAAAGACCTACGCCAGGAGACCCGACACCACGTGGCGTTGGCAGAGCGGGACTCCCTCCCGCTGGAAGGGACTCCAGGTTTCCCACGGGCTCTCTTTTTTTTTTTTTTTTTTTTTTTTTTTTTT